TAATAACAAATGTCACTACAGTTAGGTTTGGAGAGGAGAGTATATAAACCCCTCCTCTCTCAGCCTTCAGAGAATCCCCCAAGCAATTATTACCCACTACTTTTAAAGAACAATTAAAGTTCAACTGAATTAAAATATCAAGAGTCTTATACAAATAAGACTAGTGATAAGCTTCATCAACTTTAATCAGATTCCTGATTAAAAGTAGGTAATACAATTCTTCATTTCCCTCTGGATCCTCTAGTGACCTCCAACAACTCCAGGCTAGTGACCTTAAGAAGAACTTCAGGCTGGTGACCTTAAGAATAACCCCAAGTTGGTGACTTTAAGGACAACCAGATTGGTGAACTAACTCACTCTTTGATCTGTTACAATGAAGATTAAAGGAAGGTCCAGGATCCAACCTTCATATATTATAATAAACATCATATTATAATTACTGAATCTCCTTCTTAGGAGTCAATTGACTGAAGTCTGTCTGGATTTGTCCAAACAGACTGTCAGTCCCTTTTCCTCTCTTTAATTTTCCTTCTTTACTTCAATTTGTAACTACTACATATTTGAAATAAAGAAGTTAAATTTAATATACCTACCATTCTACCCATCAGTGAGCACTGAGTACTCTTACAAAGAGCACCCAGCCCTCACATTTGGGGGCCTCATCGTGTTGAAACCCAAAAACCAACCTCAACTTTTACCAAAAGTGTGAGTTTCATATCTCTAGACAAAGAATAAGAACCAATAGACTGTGAAGGACAAGTGTCATCATCTCAATAAACTACTAACAATCACCCTAACCGTTAAAACAATCATCAAACAATTGACCATTGTGATTGATCACCAACCACTTTTGACCACTACATATCAACAAAACTTTCATAATTTTTTTTTCTTTTCATCATCAAAAAATTTAAAAAGAGATAATCATAATTTCATCTAAATTATATCTCAACATAATTTTATTATCATTCTTGTTGTGTTGTGATTGTATCTTCTCGAGTAATAAGCTGAAACACCCAATTCGAGTATTCTGTCGAAAAAGATCCCAGGAGTGATAGTACAGGACCGACGAGTCGAGTACCGTAGTTACAAGTACATATATCTTATTGAAATTCGATTACCCCAATGAAAGGATATTATACACACCATCACACAAAGGAAAGACTCGCAAACAATTAAATAAAGGAACATCTGATTTCAGG